CTGAGGGCCACCTCGAAATTCCTTGTTAATTTCAAGATAAAAAATAAATGAGAAAACATGAGTCCCAAAAGACTCCAAATGTGCCCTTTTAAGCCCTTTAGTCACTGTTTATACCCCCCAACCCCCCTTGGATGACCCACCACCAAAACCGAAGTTAAGACCGGATTCTGACTGCTTGGGCCAAGCGCAGTCCTGGCCTGAAGTCTTTTCTTTTTTTTTTGGGATCCTTGCCTCTTTTTTGGCCCGTCTGGTTTTGCCGGGCGACCCCCCTTCTGCCCAACTGGCCCGGGCGTGCCGGGCCGGGCGACGGCCCAACATACCTAATTAGTAATTAGTAATTAAACTAAATTAGTAGAATTTGCTCGTTCATAATTTGAGGTATTCCGAACCATTTTTTAGAATTTTTGACGTTTAGCAAACGTATGACAATGAGATCTGTTTTTTTTTTTTTTTTTTTCAATTTTAACCACCAGTACATTACACGACCATAAATCAGCCGGGGCACCCTCATCGCGAGTTTCTGGAGGCTGGAAACACGGCGCCGGCCATTGACGAAAAAAATTATCAACAGCGCGCCAGCCCCAAAATTTTTGGAGTAGGTGACGAGTTCCCCCTCCCCCCCCCCTCCTGCAAGGCTGGGGCCTTGTACTGGCCGTTTAACTTTCTAAAATTTCTTACGATAATTGTAAATCTATAAATTTTATTTTGTTTTCCAAATGCTTCAAATTTCTAAGTTTTAATTTTCAACCAGTGCTACAAACTGAACAACTCAGGAACGTTCAGCAAATGAATTCGGCACATAAAATGGACTGGATTCCAATCAATATTGTGAATCCAAGTACCCAAACCCTGCTCCAGCTTCTCTTTACGCCATTCCTTCGTTTTAAGCTCCATCCTTTCTTTACTTCTACGCTTGATCGTGTCCGTCTGCCAGAACGAATAGACTGACAGATGCACAGGCAGCCAGACAGGCAGGTAGGCAGGCCGGCCAGCATACGGACAGACAGACAGACAGACAAAGACCACTGAACAGAGAGCAAAGACAGACAGAGGCAGATAGGGACAGAGGGGTGACGGTGTGAGGGGGGCAACAAGGGGCAAGAGGGGCACGTGGAAAAGAGAGAGAGAGAGAGAGAGAGAGAGAGAGAGAGAGAGAGAGAGAGAGAGAGAGAGAGAGAGAGAGAGAGAGATGTGGTCCTCATGTCCGCAACCAAGACTTTGAAG